TATACCCATAATTAAGGTAAAAATACTTATCTCTGAAAAAATTGGAAAAAAGCTGATCGTTTTACGGATTTGTAGAACCGGGTACCTGTACCCGAAATTCCTGGCCAAATAACCGGGTGTATATCCATAATTAGGGTAAAAATACCTACCACAGGAAACAATTTAAAAAAGGGGAAATCTGATCGTTTTTACGGATCCGTTGAATCTGGTACCAGTACCCGAACTTCCGTGTCAAATAACCGGGTATTTCTCATAAATAGGGTAAAAATACATACCTCTGGAAAAAAATTTAAAAAAATCTGATAGTTTCACGGATCCGTAGTACCGCGTAAAACCGGGTACTCGTACCCAAACTTCCGTTTTAAATAATCGGGTATATTCCCATAATTAGGGTAAAAATACCTACCTCTAGAAGAAAAATTAAAAAAAATGGTCTTTGAATAGCAATAGTTTTTTTTTATTTTTTAAATAAAAAATTTTTAAATTTTTTTATTTTCGTTTAAGTTAAAAATATTCCATTTAAAAAAGAATCAACTAGTCTACACGCAAACTTGCTAAAGTCTAATTAGTGCTCTGTTCCTTATGAGATTCGAAGATAATTATTAAATACATGTTAATTCATGCAACCGGTTCCGCATGAAAAAACACGTATCACTGCAATGATTTTTTTTTTTTTTTTTTTTGCGAATTTGGTACGATTTTTTAAATTGTAATATAAACTCGCCTTCTGTAATTAAAATACTGCCAAACGAAACATATGGCAACACTAAAATGTTTTTTCACGAAATTTGACATTAACTTCAAGCAAAGACATATCAATGAATTTTTTTATCTCTTTTTATTCTCCATACGCCTTTTAATTTTATTGGGTAAAATATACAAAAAATTAAATCCCATCAATTTGTTTATTATGGAATTTTAAAGCATACTGTCATCACAAAAAATTGTGAATGCAAAAACCCCAACAGAAAAAAAAGAGACAAAGCAACGCATGCCCCAAAAAGTACAAACACACATTTACGCGCACTTTTTACAAACATATGTTACAAAATATCTCAGATGACAATAGCAATAAAAACTCAACAAAACAACTAAACATTTAAATGCAACGATAGATAAAATCAAAATATTTTAATTACTTTATTTCATTACTTTTGTATACATACTTGCACTTTTGCTCTTTCTCTCCTTAATATTCCAATGAAAAAAATTATGTATTTCTTTTTGTTAATGGATCAGCTTCAAAAATATATAATTTGTGTGTTCTCCTATTCCACTTTATTACTCGATTCCAATTAGAATGCACTCATACACTTTCATAAGCATCGGTCGGTCGGGCAGGCAGCAGCCAGCACAGTGTAAAGTATAACCGAAAAAATAAAATAAAAGCGAAAAGAAGCAGGCACCACTCCTACTCCGCACACAATCATCAATTGATGTATTTGTATTGGTTTTTGTTGCTGTGCTTTGCTGTTGTGGCTTTTATTATTCGTCTTATTTTTTTTCTATTCACATTCTCGGCGGCATTTACAACAACACAAAACACACACTCACACACACACGCAGAGAGACTCGTTTGCTCGCTGGCTTATGAAAAGTAAATCAACTAATCGGCCATAAAGAAGAAAAGATATCCACACATAAAAAATAACCGACCGCGCAACCCGAACGCCAACGAGCCACCACACGTAATAATTGTCGTTTTTTTAATGCCACATTCATTGATTTGTTGGAAATATGGCTGTACAAAAAGAAATGCAACAATAAAATGTTTTAACTTTTATTTCTCATTAAAATTGTTGTCGTTTTTTTGTTTATTTTCACTTTCTTATTAGAATTATTTCCCATTATTAGCCGCACTTTATGATTTATCTGTTTGTCTTATCAGATCTTTTGACATTTCTATGCATTTGTTTAATTTGTAGTTTTTCTTGTAAAAGCACTTGAAATTTATTCGGTTTTTATAAATCATTCACTTTTTTATTGTTTCGTTTATTTTTATTTACATTTTTATCAAAATTTTGTATGTTTTTAATTGGTTTTAAACAAAATCTCTGTTCTCTGCAACACAACGAACGTTTGGTTGTGTTGCTTGTTCTTGTTCTTAAGAATGAGATAACTTTGGCGGCTAGCCGTTTGTTTGCCGCCGTTGTATATGTGGCGCTGAGTGCAATGACATTGACGGCGTTAAAAGTTATTTTTGAAGCTGCTTAGGGAAATTAGAGTTGTCAAGTGCACATTTTATTCACATTTCAATGTTGTGGATATTAATAAATAAAAACGGGGTTATATGGAATTTAATGCCTGCTGATGATTTCCATTGGATAAACTCTCAAATAGAAAGCATGTCAATATCACTTATACCTCTTATAGGGGTTGGTATTTTGTAGCGTTTGGGCACGTTTTTTTAACCGAATTGACTGTAATTTTATTCTGTGAATGCACATTAGGTAAAAAATCGCCCTACCGAAAATTATCAACATTGCGCCACTTTTTAGGATAGCTCCCATATAACGTGAATCCCAACTCTTAGTGACTCTATCCAAATTTTTCAACCGAATTGCTTCTTCTTAAGAAATATTCATACAAATAAGGCCGGTATAACTGGATTATAATGAGTAATATCTTCCTTAAAAAAATATTTTTTTAAAAATTCGCGACTTAAATAAATATTTTTTTAAAAAATCCACGCCTTAATTTTTTTTTAAAAATCCACGTCTTAAAAAATATTTTTTAAAAATCCACGTCTTAAAAAATATTTTTTTAAAAAATCCACGCCTTAATTTTTTTTTAAAAATCCACGTCTTAAAAAATATTTTTTAAAAATCCACGTCTTAAAAAATATTTTTTAAAAATCCACGCCTTAATTTTTTTTAAAAATCCACGCCTTAATTTTTTTTAAAAATCCACGCCTTAAAAAATATTTTTTAAAAAATCCACGCCTTAAAAAAATTTTTTTTAAAAATCCACGCTTTAAAAAAATATTTTTTTTTAAAATTCACGCATTAAAAAATATTTTTTTAAAAAATCCGCGATTTAAAAACGTATTTTTTTAAAATCCACGCCTTTTTCATTCCCTAAAAAAATGCTAGTCCTCGCTAAAATATTCTTTAAAAATCCGAGCTTATTGGTCTGATAGTCCTTGCGAAATTATTCTATAAAAAATTCAAGCATTTTGACATGCTTGTCCTTGAGAAAATCTTCTTTAAAACATTCACGCTTATTGATCTATGTTAGTCCTTGAGCAAATATTCCTAAAAATCCACCCTTCGTGGTCTGCAAGTTATTGTGAATATATTTCTTAAGAAGTATTTTCTTATAGGTCTGTTAGTTCTAGAGAAAATAATCTTTAAAGATTCGTCTTTATTGAGGACTTTAAAAAATTCTTTTTAAAAATCCACAGTTATTGAGGTCCTTGAACAAAGTATATAAATTATTTATAAAATCGGATAGTCCTTGAAAAAATATATTCTTTAAAAATTCATGATTTTTGGTAGTTCTTTAAATATATTTACTAGTTCTTTAAAAAAATAATTATATATTATTATTATTTCATATAATTACCAATTGAACGCATATGTTTGACGTGTGTGGCCCGCTTAAACAGTGTCGTTCACATATTCTATTTCTCCTTTAAACCAAGTGGAACGTTTTTAATTAATGCAGACATCACTCACATCAGCACGTGGCAACCCTCATACAATTCCGTTCCGTAGAAACATAAGAAGACGTAATAAAAATAAGAAAATAAGTGGTGAAATTGAAAAAAAAAACTGAACAAAAATAAAGAAATAAATATTAGAAATTGTTAACGTTTTTATTTATGAAAATGAAAAAATAAATATAAATTCTGAATTAAATCTACAAAAGAATACAATAATCGATGTAAACAATCAAGTTTAATCAAAGCCGAAAAACGTTTGGTAAATAAATACGCATTAATTATAATTTGTGGAAGAGAAAGTAATGAGATTTGCCAGCTCCAGTGAAATTTAGGAACAACAACAACAAGGAATTAAAGGAAAATACTGCGTAAAAAAGTTATTGTAACGGAGTGGGAGTTGTTTTGATGTTATTTGTTTGTCTTTGACAAGAAGGACATGAAAGGTCTTGTTGACTGGCTCGCTGTTTGGATGATGGTCACGACGATGATGTCGTAAAGGAATTTTTTTTCGGCAACTGCGTATGTACGTACGTTCGTGTGTGTGTATTTACATTGTGCGTGTGAATCATTTGGCAAATCAACATGCTAAAAACCACGTAGAGATAGTTAAATAATTAAAGCAACAAAAACAACACAAGCGTAACGTGATCTGATACAAAAAAGAGAATACAAAACAAAAACAACAATATTCGAAACATATGAGACATCATCGAAAACTATTTTTATTGGGAAATTCATTCAAAACATTAAACATTAAAGGTTTGTTTGAAAAATGTAAACCTTTGGTGGGTACAGCAGCTCCCAAAAAAATAAATAAAAAAGAAAATAAATGACAAGTAGCAGCCGAAGGCGTTGGAAGGAGGAGGAAAGCCAGCAAGTTGCAGAAGTAGTTGTTGCACACATTACATTATTATTCTTCTTATGTAGAACATACCTTGGATTTTGGCGAACAGCAAGGTAAACATAGAAGGAGGACAGAGGAGGCAATACCAAACAAAAAAAGTGGTTTGTCAACTTGTGGCGTCTCATCGTCAAACCAAGAACAGGGACGGACGGCGAAAGCCCTTCTGCAACCAAAAGAACAACAACTGCAGCCTGCTATTCACTACTGCAGAAGGAAGAGAAAGGAAGAAGTCACAAAAAAAAACTAATAGCATCGAACAGCAGCAGTTGCATTCATTTCACACCAATTACTGGAGAGACAAAAACCAGAAACACAAAAAAGAAAAAAAAAAAATTGTCACCAAAAAATTTTAATTGGGAACGACAGCTGGAAGACAGTAGCAGTTTAGACAGTTTTGAAAAAAAAATTGAAAAGAAAAAATAACCCAGCACAATGGCCACAGTTACACGTAGCAGTAACAGCCCATCGATTTCACTAACTTCAACCCTGGATCCAAGTCTTTTCCCATTGAAATCCATCAATGATGTTGTCAACTTTTTCAAACGATCCCTAGAACTGTACCACAGCCATTGTGTGGAACCTGATTTGACGCTGCTGTCAATTGTGGCCGGTTACATTGAATTGTCGTTGACAACGGGCGATGCAGCTCAGGCGGCCCAGGCCAGCCTTAATTCATCGACAACAACATCCTCGTCATCAACTGGTGCATCAACGTTGGCTGGCATTGTGGGCAATGCATCGGCAGGTGTGTATTATTTTTTATATTTTTTCTTTTTTAATATGTTTTACATTTTTGGAGGTTGAAGAGAGTCTGGAGTTTTAAAAATCATTTTGAAAGCTCGATTAGCAGGCCAATAATCTTGGAAATTTTTAAAGAGTAACATTTCAAAGACTATCCGATTTATAAACGTGGATTTTTAGTAAAAATTATTTCAAGGACTGGCAGACTAATTAGAATATATTTTTCGGGACAAGCAGACCAATAGCATTGATAGCCTTTTTTTAAGGAATAATGTTTCGAGGACTAGCAACAAACAATAAAAAAATCTTAAAAATATGTTTTCAATAAGAGTGGATTTTTTAAATACTGTTCCAATAAGAGTCGATTTAAAAAATATACATTTTTTCAGTAATTGCGGATATTCTAATATTTTTAAAAAATCCAAGGCAATTTTTCAATAAGAGCGGATGTTTTTTAAAGATTTTTTTTTCAATTGAAGGCGTGGATTCTTTTTTAAAGAATTTTTTTCAATTCGATGCGTGGATTTTTTTAAAGAATTTTTTTTTCATTTTTAAAAGATTAGTTTTATTTTTTTCAGTAATATGGGATTTAAAAAAATTAAATATTTTTTTAAAATTCTTTACAATAAGCGTGGATTTCATTTAAAAAAAATTGTTTTCAAAAATTTAAAAGAAAATATTTTTCCAAAAAAAAATTTTAAGAAAAAAATATTTAATATAGAATATGCATAGCATCACTTTCTTAGTCGATTTATGCATGTCCATCCGTCCGTCTGTAGATGTTAAATTGTAAACAAAGTACAGGTCGCATTTATGATCCGATTTGGATGAAATTTGGCACAAGTCACTTATTTGGCCCAAGGACGAACCCCATTGAAATTGAATAAAATCGGTTCAGATTTAGATATAGCTCCGGTATATAGTTTCGTCCAATTTAAGGTAAATGTGGCACCAACGTCCCTATATATTATTCGATTTGCACGAAATTTGGCAAAGAGTACTAAATTAGGTCCAGAATGATGTGTGGTAAGTTTCGTGAAAATCGGTTCACATTTAGATATAGCTCCCATATATAGTTTTATTCGATTTGATGTAAATTGTGCACAAAAGACCCTATACATCTTTCGATTTGCACGAAATTTTGCGTAGTGTACTGGATTGAGTCTAGGATGATGAGTAGCGAGTTTCGAGAAAATCGGTTCAGATTTAGATATAGCTCCCATATATATTTTCGTTCGATTTATGGTAAAATGGGCTCCAAAGTCCCAATGTATCTTTAGATTTGCACGAAATTTGGCATAGGCTACTTAATTAGACCCAGAATGGTGCGTGCTAAGTTTCGCGAAAATTGGTTCAGATATAGATATATCTCCCACATATATTTTTTAGTCCGATTTTATGTAAATGGTGCTCCAAAGTCCCTATATATCTTGCGATTTGCACGAAATTTGGCATATTGTACTGAATTGAGTCTATAATGACGTGTTTCAAGTTTCGAGAAAATCGGGTCAAATTAGATATAGCTCCCATATATATTTACGTCCGATTTAAGGTAAATGGGACACCAAAGTGCCTAAATATCTGAATTAAGCCTAGAATGATGTGCGCTAAATTTTGTGAAAATCGGTCCAGATTTAGATATAGCTCCCATATATGTTTTCGTCCGATTTGCGCGAAATTTAGCACAGCGTACTGAATTAAGCCTAGAATGATTTGTGCTAAGTTACATGAAAATCGGGTCAGATTTGAATATAGCTCCCATATATATTTTGTCCGATTTTACATAGATGGTGCACCAAACTACTAATGCTTGTCCGATTAACACGAAATTTTGCACAACGTATCTAATTGAGACTTGAATGACGTTATTATGTTTTGTTGAAATTCATGGAGAATAGCGTGTATCAATTTCCTATAAATCGTTATCCATAAATTTGTCCCATGGTACGCAGACGACTCTAAATCTGCCCGAATGAAATTAAATTTATCATAGATTGCAGAAAGACATGAGTATGTTCTTTCGAGGGAACATTGATATACAATTGTAAGGATACATGTGTACAATATACCCAAAGAGGTGAAAGGTATCATATAGTCGGCCCAGTCCGACTTTACTGCTTTCCCTAATGTATCCTTATTTATTTTCTTTTTTCATTGCAGCCAATTGCGACATTATCAACAGCAATTCCGTTCCCTTCCCTGTCGTCACCTATGAACTTGTTTCGGGACTATATAAAAAATTCCAAAGCATTCTATCGATAGTGGAAAAGCCAAAAGTCTCATCAACATGCAATAGCCGGCAGGCTACCCGTGAAGTTATCAAAAAAGTGTCCGATGTTATATGGCATTCGTTGATACGTAGCAGTTACAAAGATCGTGCTCATTTACAAAATCTCTACACATATCTATCGGGTAATAAGCTGGATTGTTTTGGGGTGGCATTGGCTGTGGTGGCCGGATGCCAGCTGTTGGGATATCGTGATGTACGTTTGGCCATCTCCGAGGATCATGCATGGGTTGTATTTGGTAATAAGAAAATCGAAACAATAGAAGTTACCTGGCATGGTAAGGGTAGTGAAGATAAGCGAGGACAAGATATAACGGCGGGTATTGAATCGGGATCATGGTTATATTTGGGTGGTTATCCTGTTGTGTGTGATAAACCAATGGAGGTGGCGGCCATCGCCTCGGCCATAAATATTTCGCTGTCCAGCAATAGTGATTGTGTCGAGGTGGCTGAAATGCAACAACGTTTATTGTGGATGCTGTATGATATGGGTCATTTGAGGAAATATCCCATGGCGATTGGTAATAATGAATAGAATATTAATTTAATTTTAAGATGTAATAATTTGTTTTATTTTCCTTTTAGGAACTCTTGGTGAATTGGAAGAAATTAATCCCACACCGAAACGTGTTTCCTGTGACCAACTATACCGCGAAGCAATCGAATCGGCCAGAGCCCATTATCAAAATCACCACGTTTATCCGTATACGTATCAAGGCAATTACTACAATCGTTTGAATAAATATCGTGAAGCCTTTGCCGCCTGGGCAAATGCTGGCGATGTTATACGCCTCTACACCTATCAGTGTCGGGATGATGAAGAAATCTACAAAGAATTGCTGGATATAGCAAATGAAATGATACCCTACGTTATGAAAACCGAAAGTTCTGGCCACTCCGCCCGCAGTATACTAAGGGATCCTGAGGTGTTTGCCAATCTTTTGCGATTCTATGATGGCATTTGCCAATGGGAAGAGGATAGCTTAACACCGATACTGCACATTGGTTGGGCAAAGCCATTGGTTAATAATATTTGTAAATTTGACTACGATGTACGATCACAAGTTATAATTAAGGTACCCGAAGATGAACCGCAGGCGGTTCATCACCGTAGTATGGCGGCGGCATCATCGACGACAACCATGGATGTGTGTAGTCGAGATAATGAAGAGGCTATAAATGAGGCTAAAATAAATAATTTAAGTGAAGCAGCGGAGGGAAATAATAATTCGATGAAAAAGGAAGAGGTGAGTATTTCAGAGAATAATTGATTTTTTTACTTTAATTTGTTGTTATTAATTTCTATTAGCATACAAATGATGACAACAAATCACAAATGCCCACCACCTTATTGGCCGATTTGACAGCTGCTTGCGGTGAAAAGATTTTAAATCCTGACTTGTTGTTGCAGGGATTGCGACAGGTATGCTAATGCTAAGAGAATGGAAAATAGAGAATATTTAAAAAGTGCTAGCAGAGATCTGTGGGTGACTGTAATAATAAATTTAGAAATATAGGCGAGGGTTTTAAGAACTATGTACGAAGGACATTTAAAACAAAGTATCGGAACTATAGGCGCTGATATTTTATATTATATTTTGAGGAGTATAATAAAAATATTTTATGTCTGAATTTTTAAAGTTTTTATTTATAAGTTGTGTTTTTAAAATATATTCTTTGATGTGAGGATTTTTTATTTTTATTAAGTCGTAGAAATTTGTAAATCTTATTTTTTTTAATTATATTTTTGTTAATTTTTTTTGAAGACGTAATAGATTAAAAATATTAAATATTATTATTAGATTAAAAAAAAATTGTAACACTTGACACTTTTTTAATAATTTGTTAATGTTTTTTGAAACACGGATCTACAAATTTGAGTCTTGGATTTCTTAATTTTTTTTTTTGATTTAAAAGAATTTGAGGCATGGAAATTTTTCCAAGAGATTTGCCTGTAAAAATATTTTTTAAAAAAGTTAATTGTTCATATTTTTTTTTCTTTTTTCTTTTAAGGGTTATAATTTATCACCATCAGGAGATGCTGCAGCTTCTGCTGGATCATCATCCCAAGATCCCAAAAATAATACAAATCGGCGATCTGCTGGTTTCCTGTTTGCCGCCGATCAAAAACAAAAACGCAACAAAGACGTAATAACTGAAGTCGACAACAACCTCAACGGTAAAGATGAACAGCACAAAAATGACCTATCATCCACAATTGGTGGCAATACATCATTGCGACAGTCAATACACCATTCGCTAACAAACCCCCTATCTGCAAGAATACCGCCAGAACCCCCCCTAGATGATGATGATCCATTGAAACATATGTTCAAGACACCTGTCATTACGCTCTACAGTCAAAAGATGAAAGGTCTCAAGGATTTGTTGTTGGCCGAAAAACTCAATACCCATGCAATATCATTGCAAGTGACCGCACAATCGGTGGCTAGCCGCAAGGTGCGTGGTGTCGATAAGCTCGGTAATCATACAACCAATTCAACATATTCATCGGCAAATGTGGCAGCTGGTACTGCATCGTCGTCGGCAGATACATCAGCGGCAAGCGATTCAATTGCCGTGTCGCGACCAAAACGTACACGACGTGAATGAGTTCAGTGTAGCAATTACTGCTGTGACAGCGGGCTGTGTCAGTGGTAAGATTGTAAGATGTATGTGTGTGTCTTTAGCTTCTTGCGTTGGTACAATTATTATTATTTTTTTTATAAATGTGGGTGGTGTCAAATGTTCCTCGTCGTGGTAGTAGTTTTAATTTTGCTTATTTGAAATCAGTTTCTTTAGTTGGCAGACAGACAGGCATTACATTTTTTATTCTCTCTATTTTAACAATGGCAAATTTTTTTATAACCTTTACATTTGGAATTTGACTGGAGATATGCAAAATCTTGGAATATTTATCGTGCAAGATAAAATCTTAAACATTTTTGTACAAATTCTGCTAGAGAGTGTATATCCATAAATATGCAGAAAACGAGAGAGAGAAAGGTTAAGACAAATTAAAAAAACTAACTTCCTTAACCTTTGTTATGTATGTTTTTCTAACATTCAGGACTAGAACAAAAGAAAGCCAAGCTAAAAGAAGAAGAAAAAACAAATTTGTTAAGAAATCATAACTACTGAAATGATTTAAATTAGAAAAAAGAAAATACATCTTCTATGTATATTTGATTATACCCATCTCAGAAGTTAGACCCAGTAATTCTATTTCCGTGAAAACTTAGTATTATGTTACCCCTTACCTTGTAACGGAATCAAATCATTTTTTCTCTTGAAAGTAACGCCAAGCGTCTCGTTTTTTATTTTTAATTTTGATTGCTCTTTTTATGTCGTACGAATGCTTCATTTTTTCCGTTTATCTTGTTTTCTTTAAGAAATTGTATTATTTGTATATAAAAATATTTAAAGATGTATTAAGGTATTTAAATTTAATTTACACCTAACCTCTGTTCTCTGTTTTATTTTATATGGTGCTCACTTTTTTATTAGTAATTTGTTTTTATGTATATACATACATATGTTAGTGTTATTAATTTATATTTTTATTTTAAAATATTGAAACTATTATCAAATAAGTTTTCGGTGTGGTGCATGCCAAAACAATTGAAAAATGTTCAATTTATTATCAAGGGTGATTGAGAGAATGAGAGGGAACATGTGAAAAAGCGTTAAGTTCGGCCGGTACTTGAAATGAAAATATAGGGAACATACCAAAAAGTGGACCTATACCCACATTTCTACAAACCGATTATGTACACCAAAAACAAATTTCAACAATTTATACCCTCAGCCTTATGGCTAATGAGGGTGTATACACTTTGATACGGTGAAAATGTGCCTCATCGAAATGTTGGTTCTAGACCCCAAGTTTCTTTGGTCCAAATCCGTTTCAGAAAATTTGGTTTTCATCCAAACTTTGCACATCTTATTATTTATTCAAAAATTAGTTCAAGTTTGAAGATGAGGAATATCGGTCCGTTCCTTCTGATACACAAGGGCTGGTGCTAGACCTAAATGCGGGCTATAGTTCATTATCGAACCTTAAGTTCTAGTTTTTTATCTCGATATCCTCCGGAGGTGAAATGATTGCAACAAAGACATAGAACCAAACGACTACAAAATACCACACTACAGCGAATTCGGTTGAAAAAATGTACTCAAGAACCCCAAAATACGTAAATTGGGAGGTACACTTATATGGGGGCTATCCGAAAAAATTGATCTATATTCATAATTTTTTGTGCAGAGATTTGGTACCTATTAAGAACACAAAATACTAAATTACAGCCAATTCGGTGGGAAAATACGATTAAAACCCCCAAAATTAGGGGGTACCGTTATAGGGGGCTATCAGAAAAAGTGGACCTATAGCTATATTTTTTTTGTGAAGAAATTAAGTACCCAGTGTACCAATGTTTTGAGTTACTCCTATTTTGATCGTCCTATATTTGGATTTTTGGAACTCAACGAAAGCCTGCCGCCCATTAAGGTAGTTGGCATGGCAAACGCTTTATATCCCTCGGAAGGGTGGAATTTGTGATGTCGGTTATCAAATCGGAATAATCTACCGTAGCAAACGCCTTGGACAGATCTAAGGCTGACACAATGGTCCGTTCAGGTGGTCGTCGCTGATTGAGTCCATTCGCAATCTTGAAAGTAATTTTGGAAAGTTTTTAGCCCAGCACAAAGCGCGGTATAAACAGAAAAAAGTTAAGTGTTTTAGAATCTGACATCTTTGTTATGAACACATGTTAAATTCTGTTTCGATCTGAGATGATTGAAATCAATTTTTTATAATCTTCACTCATTCTCTCCTTCGTGGCCTGAATAACAGATTATAGAGATTTTTGAAGAAGTTCATGGGGTATATTTAGCTTAGGCCTTGGGTCTGTTTACTTATGTAACCTTCAGGTGCGTCCCATGACATATGCACCACCATGCAATCTTTTAAACTTAAAAATATTTTATTTGAATTATATTATTTAACTTAGCAACACATAATATGTATATACACCTATATATAATTTATGTTTCTGTAATACACTTCCTATACTTTTGTGATATGTTTTTTTTATTATTATTATTTATAAATTATTATGTTTAGTATTTTATATATTAATTACAATGAATTAATAAAAATAAATATTTATATATAACTAAGAAAAAAGCAACAACAAAAATCAAACATTTTTATTTTAAATATTTAAGAATATATACGGATATATATTATATACACATATTACATATTTATATAGTTTTTAATGTTATTAGTATTTAAGTTATATATTATTTAAAAGAAAAAAAAACCCAATTTTAATTTAATTTTGAAAACAATATGACCTCTCTCTTTTATTATTATTAATAACAAAATATGATTATGTAAGAATTATATTTATTTATACAAGCACAAACTATAATAAAAAGATAACGCTCAATTTTTATTAAAAAAAAACTATTAACAAACAATAGAACTAAACCTCTTTTTTGAATTGTAAAAAAACAAACTGTTTTAGTTTTTTTTAATAGTGAAAAAAAGAAAGGCATTGGAAATATTTAAATAATAACAAAAAGGCATAGAATTTGTTAAACAATTGATTGATAATAAAACATTTAAAATGAATTTTGTTAAAGACCGTCTGTGATGTATTGAAAAAATAAAAAAAAAATAATCAAGCACATTTTTAAATAAATAAAAAAACAAAAACTTCTCTAAATAAAAAAACAAAAACAACAAATAACAACTATATATATTTATTATTATGCGTACAATATTAGATTATAATAAAAAAATGAAAAAGAAAACAATTTTCCCCCTTTTTAATAAAAAAATAAATGTTTGAATGTTTTAAAATTAAAAAAAATAAAAATAAACTGAAAATAAAATATCTAATGACCATATATATACAACACTTAAAACATTTATTTAAATAGGTCCAGCTTCTGACAAATACCTATTTCAAGGTGACAAAATTGTTAAAAAAATTGCAAGAAGTCCTCGAACTTTGAAATTGTGAAAAAAATGAATTAATGTATATATGACGTCGATCAAATGTTGTAAAATAATTGTTTTCTTCTTCTCGTTCTAGACGATTAAACCAATTATATAATAATAATAAACAAACGTAACAACAACAAAATACCAGATTACCTTATTTTCCTAACATTTTATAACCTCAAAAAATAATACAAAACAAAAAACATAAACACACTGCAAAACTTTTGGAAAATTGTATTTTTATATTCAAAATTATACCGCAAACGAAAGAAAAAAAAACACAAACAAAAATAAATTGTTATATAAATATATTTGGAACATTTGATTATTGTTTTCAAAAACAAAAACGACAAGACAAAGAGAAAGATTTCTCTCTAAAAAAATACACTACTTAAATGCAAGCACATAAATATATATAAATAAAATATGCAAAAAACATAGTTCCACAGAAATAATTCCGCGTCAATGCCACAAATACAACAGCAACAAAAACTACATTTAAACTTCTCTTAATAATAGCTAAAATTTTAATATTTTTTATCAAAGAATTTGGAATTCTGAAAACATTTTGTGACAGATGAAGACTATTGATCTAATCTATTCTGATTTCGAAACTACACGTTACTCCTTAAAGTAATTCGTAAAAAATATACTAGTTTGACAATTCAGATTAGGGATTCTAAATACTTTAAAAAACTCACTCTCACAGCATATTTTTACAGTCGACAGAGGGATTTTAATAGATGCAAAGTCAAAGACATTTATTGACATTTTTTTTCATTTTGACTTTTTCCAAGTTTTTTCAATATTCCAATATGATTCCAATCCTAATATTTTTATACTATGTCAGCTATTATTAAGAGACTAAAATAGAAATCCACAAAATAAAAAATGAAACAAATTTAAATAAATTTTTAAATCTAATCAGCTTTTTTAGCTCAATTTTATTGTAACAGAACAATATATATGTTCTAAAATCAGTAATCAAAAATAACCAATAATTATTTTTGTTATTTCCTTCCTAACACATTGCGATAGCCAACCAGCCAATTCTCCAATAAGAACAAAACAAAAATCCAATATATAAAATAAAAAAAAATCGTAGTAATAGAACCAAAGGTAAATGTTTTAACAACCCCAACAACAAAAAAGAGAGTTACATAAAAGATCGATAAACAATAAAAACAAAAAATAAATAAATGAAACTATGTTAAACAAAATTATTATTGTGCAATTTTTATTACGAAATTATGTCCTCTTCGTTGCCACAGGCTTTTTGAGAAGGTTATGACTTATTAGGGAAAGGCTTCATCCTCCTTACTTAGCTGTCTGGTGACAGAACATTTGTTCCATAAGCCAAGCTTAAAAAAGATTTCCAGGCGCGTCGGTCTTGTGCGCAGCTCATCCAATTTGAAAGACCCTGTTCCGCGATGCTGTCTTCCACTTTCAATCGAATTAGTGCCCTCCCTTTCTGTGTGAACCATCACTTGTGGCTCGCTTTTATATGCCTTTTAAACTAGGGCATCTTCATCCATTCTCACAATATCGCCTAGCCAATGTAGTCGCTGCAGCACGATACGTCTGACTATGCCGATGTCCGATAATAGATAAAACCACTCATTGTTCGTTCGACAGCGATATTCACCATCGAAGCAGATAGGTCTACAGATTTTCCGGAGAATTTTTCTCTCAAATACTCCAAAAGCTGCATCATCTGCTTGCGCAAGTACCCATGCTTCAGATCCATACAACAGCGCGAGTAGTATCAGCGCCTTGTAGAGCGTGAGTTTGGTCTGGGGAGAGACGGTCTTGCTCTTGAATTGCTTACTCAGAACATAGTAGCATCTGTTGGCCGCCAACACTATTCTTCTCCGGATTTCAAAGCTGATGTTATTAGTTTTTTTCATGGCGGTATCAAGGTATATAAAATCTTCCACAGTTGGTTTCCGAGTCTACTAGATGTCTTGAGAGTTGATACCATCAGCTTGGTCTTCTCGCCATTTACTGCCAGACCCACTTTGGCAGACTCCTTCTCGATTTGTTCAAAGGTGGCTGTTACTGCTCACAATGTTCAATCCATTATGTCGATGTCGCCGGCGTAAGTGAGTAACATATGCTGTTTTGTATACAGAGTACCATTTCTGTTCCCATTTGCATCTCATATGACCTTTTGCAGCAGGATGTTAAAAAGCCCACACGACAAACAGTCGCCTAGTTCGAAGGGATCTGAAAGGTCCTTTTCGACGTTAACTGCTGATCTTGTGCCAGTTAATGTTATCCTGAATATCCATATTAATTTTGCAGGAATGCCCAAAGCAGGCATGACTTTAAACACCTCTTAACTGATAGGGCTATCGAATGCGGCTTTATAGTCGACGAATAGGTGGAATGTGTCGATGTGCTTTTCGTGGGTCTTTACCAGGATTTGGCGCAGAGTGAAAATCTGGTCTAGGGTGGATTTGCCACCTTTTGCCACCCGCATTGGTATTGTCAAATAATGTCATTGACCATTGGCTTCAGTCGTTCACACAGTACGCTGGATAACACTTTACATGCAATGGGAAGGAGTCTGAAAGAGGGAAAAACATACGAGGATTCAGGACTGACATGTTAAGTTGGCTTTGTATGAAATTGTATGAAATTTTACAATAAAAGAAGCCAACTTAACATGCCAATCCTGAAATCCTCTTATGTGTTTCCCCCCTTATTCCTCTATAGTTGGCACATATCGAATTGTCTCCTTTTTTGTGCCACATTGTACTAATCTGTTGGTGCATGTTCCTGACCATCATCTGACCAAGGGCCTTGAATAGTTCGGCTGGTAATCCGCACCGTTATGTGTCATCGATGAAAAAACCCTTACCGCGACCATTCTGCTTAGCCCTTTAACGCACATCAACTTCAAGAGCTGGTGTCAAATTTTCCGTGTGGTTGCTGTATTTTCGATAACAAATAACACAAAGGATAAGGCAGGGGATCCTTTCTGCTTATGCCTTTAAAACGCCGCGTTTTTTTTTTGTGCGAGATCTATTCTATATGGCTGGGGCCTGAAGTATATATATATACACTCTACCATTTTTGAAAGGCACTCTTGACCAAATTTTGCTTTTTTGATAGTGTGGCATCTCATGTTTGTCATTCATCAGCAACCACAAAAATATTTATGGTTGTTGGCATGATCCAATAATAAGGTCGTCCGATAAGCCCAAATGATTTCACCCGAGCTGTCAAAATGCTTTCGATTTTGACTAAATTGTGTGAAAACGTAAACAAAATTGGTCTGTTCCCGTAATGCAAGAATCTACTAGATTTTACTATTTTCTTCGATATCATAAAGGAAAAAAGTGTTATCGTAATAAAAAATATTAGATTCTTGTAGTACGGGAACATACCAAATATTTGACAGTATGGGGGATTTTACTCCAAAATTGTCGATCACGATTGCTTCTGACACGACCTATTTATTGGATCATGGTTGTTGGACAGTCACTAATTGATAAAAAAATAACTGCCACTCAAAAGTGCAAGTGTGTACACCGCTTTAGAATTGTTTAACGGGAAGTGTGGATTTTTAAATATACATATATTTATTTTCCTTTCAAAACACAGTGACTCTTGTGGGCCTTCCTATTAAACACAATTGTCATTGATAAGTCATATATCGCTGACATACGGCAATGTTTATGGTGCTCCACCAGAGAAATCAATGACTCAAAGAACAAATGGTGGATGCTGCATTGTTAAAGGGGACATTAATTGATATCTTTTCATATTTATAATTAGTTTTATGGTCTATTGTTCTTGTATCATCGGTAATTACCCCATGATTAAAAATTGTTAATGTTTCCATTGAAGGAACATTTTCGAATTTGATAACCCTACAGTCAATCGTTTTTGATCTATAGACCCCTAAACCTCGGCGCCAAAATAGAACAGAAAGCAACAAAACAAACGAATTATTCATTTGTTTTATAAAATTTATTAAAAATCAATTTATAAAAATGCTTACCAAGGAAGATGTTGAAGGTTGGAACAAGGTGTTTGCCGATTGTCAAATAAAACAAAGTGATTTGACCCAACCCACTGAGGGTTTCCTCATAAGAGCCTTGGTTTGTTATATTCGCCGTTTTGGATACAAAGTGGAACCGCCATTTCCATTGAATAAAAGCGATACGGTGGAAAACAATCGTGAGAATCGTTTATTTCTTATACGGCTGGCACGTCAGATTGATCATTTTCTCAAGATTACCGATAAGTCGTATTCCTTTACGTATTATGAGCTGATAAGGCCAAGTAAGTTGGGCGAGATGTGTTAAGAAATAAAATAATTTAATATCCCCCTTTCATTACAGCTCCCAAAAAGACTTCACATACCTTGTATATATTATTAAATTATCTATTTTATTATAATATGTATAAGGAGGAGGTATTTAAAATGGCCCAAGAGCCAATACAAAAATACCATGAACTAAAGGCGCAGATAGAACGCCAACAACGTGAAAATGAATTGAAGGCCCAACAGTCTAATGAACTTAAAATGACTGTGGATGAGTTGACAAAGAAGTTGCCACAACTAAGAACCGAACATAGGGAATTGGCAAAACGCAAGGCCAGCCAAGACGAGTCACTACAAAAGCTAAAGGAGTCCTGCGAAGAATTGTCCGAAAGGCTAAAACATTTACACGAACAAAAGAGGAGTCTGCAGAAGAAGGTTGTGGCCGATGAGGAGTCACGTGAATTACAAAAACATATCGACAACATAAAGGCCGATATTGCACGCCACAAAGAAATGGCCAATAGCAGTGAGAATTCTCTACGCGAGCTATCCAATAGCGTGGAATTAATGCAACGCCTCAAGAAGGAAATTGAAAATGCCAGCGATATTGTGCCACTGCGTCTAATTGATCAGCTCAAGGAAACCAATAAACAACTGGAAAAAGCCATGGCTGATGAACGTACGGCCCAGGAGAGGCGCAGCATTCTCACACAAAATATCGAAGATGAGCAGCAAAAATATGAAACTCTGGAACATCAATATGTTACCAAGAAACAACAGTTCGAGGTCAAGGAAAAGGCTCACAAAGAGTCGCTGCAAACCTTGCACGAGGTGCTAAAGGAGAAAACCGATCATTTGGCTAAATTGGAGAAGGAAGAGCATGCCTTGGATGGTCAAATTGATGAGCAGAAGGATATTGCGGAATATCTTGAGGAAACTATTTCCGAGATATTAACCACCTATGTTATCAGTGAATATCAATAATCATTAAATGGAGTCGAGGAATTAGGTGTTTTTAATGTTATTATTTTTTACTTACAAAAGAATCTTCTAAAATTAAACTCTTAAATAGAAAACAATCATGAACAAAATGTTTTCCGATTTGTGAAATGAGGGCTGGTTGCATTTTTCTTTACGTTTCCATGGCTTGTTTTTCCAAATGGGCCTTCAACTGTACACTGAAGTCGTCTTCGACATTATCATCATCCCAGTTGTCTTCCCAAACATTGACTTCATCCTCATCTTCATTGACGGCATTGAAATCTGTGGTGGAGACAAGCACAACAATGCGGTGAGTCTTATTCTTCATTTTTTTGTTATTTTATTCGCAACTTACCTTCGGCTGGAAACTCCTCAAATTCATCATCTTCCTCCAACAAACCCAAATCACCTTTGGCTGTTTTCTCTTTATCGGCAGACATTATTATTTTATTTCTTGTTAGAATTTCCTTTATCTTGAAATAGTAATTCTTTGCAAAAATGCTTTACAAAGCCTTCGGTTGTACAAATTCCGGATTGTTTCTCTATTTTGACAGTGCCAATTTTGCCGTCTCACTCGGTTTTGACAGTGGCAAAATAAGGTCAACCTAATTTAAAAGCGTTCGTTTCGAACGCTGCGAATAGATGATTCGGAAGAGAGAAAAGCCGATAAAGACCAGATCGAAACGAAAATGGAAGGCAATGATCAAGTTTACGAATGAGCGTGAAGCAAAACGCAGCGGTACTCGTCATGTTTAAGGGCTAAACAGAATGTTCGCGTTGAGCGTTTTCCAGTGAGCATTCTGCTTAGCCCTTTAAGGGGCTCGCGTTAAGCCATCCGTTGCTTTATGTGTTATCGAAAATACAACATCCACAAGGAAACGATAACACAAACGCTCGAATTTGTTGTGCGCTGCGCTTCGGAGTTAAATTTTGCGTGCGTTAACGCGATAACAAAAAACGCTCAACGCGAACATTTTGTTTAGCCCTTTAGAATGACGACAATCAATGCGGGAACGAATGGAATGAAACACGGTGAAGTTAGTGGAAAACGTAACGTGCGCGACGTTAAGACGTTAGATTAAAAGTGAAACAAAAACGGATAATTCAGTTGTTCTGCACCTAAATTGTTAATATATGAAGGCTGAAGGGAGTCTTTAAGTCCAAGATGAGCTTTCTATAGACCAGTTGAATGCAGGGAGCTTAAAGCAGCATTTATAAAGGAGCGCAAAAGAAGTTTTTGTAGACGAAGTAATGGGAGACTTCTTTAAAGAACACATTAAGGACTCTTTTTATTGGTGAGTTCAAGGTCCGTTATCTTCACAGTCGACCTAAAGGCATTGCATCTTTACAGACAAGTTGGAGGGAGTCTTAAAGAGGAGTAGAAGGCAGCTTTCGTCAATGACCCAAATGGAGTTTTTAAAAGCGAACAGATTGGGGGATACGTACAGGAGTTCAGAAAGAAGACCGGAAATGTTACCAACGAGTAAAACCCCAAACCGAAGCCTTTGGTGCAGGCATTAAAGAGATGAAGATGGAAACCTGGTGACAGATACAGATAGCAAATTGAGGATCTGGAAGGGGCATTTTGCAAAGTTTCTGTTATCAAATATTGGCGGCGAAGAAGATACCCAGAATAATAGACGACGGTATAAAATGTATACCACGTAGCCAAGATGAGGTCAGAACAGCAATTAATCGGCTGAAGAACAATAAAGCAGCAAGTGCCGATGGATTGCCCGCCGAGCTATTCAACACAGGTGGTCAGATGTTTATCAGTAGCATGCACCAGAGATTAGTACAATTTGGAACCTCAGCATCATGTGCTCCGTGCACAAAAAAGGAAACAATATAATATGTGTCAACTATAGAGGAATTAGCCTTCTTCCCATCGCATATAAAGGACTATCCAGTGTGGTGTGTGAACGATTGAAGCAAATGGTCAATGACATTATTGGACCATATCAATGTGGCTTCAGGCCTGACAAATCCAACATTGGCCAGATTTTCACTCCAGATCCTGGAAAAGACCCACGATCCGCCTATTCGTCGACAATAAAGGCGCTGCATTCGACAACCCTATCCGTTCAGTGGTGTTTAAAGTCATTTCTGCGTTTGGATTTCCTGCAAAATTAATTCGGCTATGTAGGATAACTTTAACTGGTACAATGTCAGCATTTAAAGTACGAAACGACCTTTCGGAGCCTTTTTAATATCGAACGACAAGGATTCAGACAAAGTGACAGTTTGTCTCGTGTGATCTTGTTAACATCCTGCTTGAAAAGGGCATACGAGATGCAAATGTGAACAGAAATGGTACTCTGTACATCCAACCAACACATGTTACTCACCGACGACATCGACATAGTGGTTCGAACATTGCGAGCGGTAACAGCTAAAGTGTAGTAGACTCGGACCAACTGTTGAACTTGAAAATTACAGCTTCGAGGTACCGCCATAAGCAAAACTCGGACGGCTCACAAGAAAGACGCATTTATAGAGTTGATCACGCCTACGGGCCTAAAAAAATTACAAAATGGGTCTGTGTTTCGCTTAACTTGCCACTTGTTTTAGCTATCCAATCAAACTAAAAATATAAGAAAATCTCGTTACATATGGTGTATGGTCCTATACCTTATATTTTAATAGAACGTGGACTAGCTGGAGGAGGAACTGTCTCCAATATTAAAAGAGGAAAAAATAAATAACAACAGCTTGGAAATCCGTAGGAGAATAGTGTTAGCCAACAGATGTTTCTACGGTCTGAGTAAGCAACTCAAGCAAGGCCACCTCCCGCCAGACCAAACTCACACTCTACAAGGCACTGATACTGCCCGTTCTGCTATATGGACCTGAAGCATGGCTACTTGCGCAAGCAGATGAGGCAGCTTTTGGAGTGTTTGAGAGAAAATTTCTCCGAAAGATCTATGGTCTGATCTGCGTCGAATGAACCATGAGCTATACCATCTATTCTCGGACATTGACATTGTCAGACGTATCGAGCTGCAGCAGCGACTACGTTGGCTAGGGCATATTGTGAGAATGGGTGCGGATGCCCAAACTCAAAAGGCATTTAAAAGCGAATCAGCTGATCGTTCACGCAGAAGGGGAAGGCCACTATTTCGATGAAATGATCAAGTGGAAGACAACATCTCAGAACCTGTTCTCTCAAATTGTATGAGCTGCGCACAAGACCGAAGCGCCAGGAAATCTTTTTTTAAGCTCGGCTTATGGAACAAATGTTCTGCCACAAGTCAGCTAAGTATGTTCATATTTGAAAACTTATTCCTCAGTAGATTTTGAACACACGAAGATCTTCTCTGGAGGCTCATAAATAAATCTATCCATTTATGGTTATGAAATAGGATTTGACTCTAAGATCATAATGTCTGAGTTGGGGGAATGATAAGGTTTTGCTTGTCATGTTCTTTGCTATAAAAAGTAGCGAACACCACGATCACTTGTCAAAGGGTCGTGTGGCCTATTATCTGCAAGTTTTGCGTGAACAAATTTTGTTCACAATGACGTTATTCGCACGTAATTGCTAAAGCGAATTTTTATATAGACAAGATAAGATTAGATATAAAAAATTGAGATTTTTTAAATTTAATATTAAATATTCTCAATTATTGTACAAACAGACATATGAGAGAAACTGTTCTATGATCATTTTTTTTTATTACACTTTGCCTTCCAAGCCGTTGACAATTTTGTAAATTGTTGACAATTTCGCGTGTTCATGTCCGTGTTTACATATTTGTTAAACAATTGTTTTTTTTATAAAATAAATTAAATTAGTTTTTTAGCGGGTGCTAGGTGGTTTAGGTTACTATAATAACTATGAGAGCAGTTGTTTTGTTGTTGTTGTTGTTATTGTAAAAACAAATATTTGTATTATGAGCACGTCCGAACGTTATTCCTAAATGAGATTATTTTATAGACGATGACTGGCTACAAATCAATTAATGTTATCATGTTATCTGCTTCCACGGTGAGAATGATGATGGCACACGACGCTGAGGGAAAAAGAGTAATAATAGCCACAAGAGCGGACAAGATCAGCAGTGGGTCTTTAATCAAAAAAATAAACTAAAAATTCAAAAAATTTTTTTGCGAGTAAAAACAATCTCATCAGTAAATTACACGACAGCTCTTCAAATAGTATAAGTGGTGCTAACTTAAGGGGAATTTAAAATGGCAAAAAATATATTTTTAGATTTTTTAAAACAATATATTTTAAATGGCCGGTCTATAAAGTATAAGGGAGTCTTTATAGTTCAGCTGAAGGCAGTCTTTATGGACGAAGTTATGTGAAAGGGGTCTTTCACAAAGGAGCTAAATGGAGTCTTTTGTAGACGAGCTGAGTGGAGTCCTTTATCGACGAGCTAACGTGATGGAGACTTTTGTAGACGAGCTGATGGGAGTCCTTTATCGACGAGCTGAAGGGAGACTTTAGTAAAAAACTGAAGGGAGTCTTTATAGACGAGCAGAAGTGAGTTTTAATAGACCGACAGAAGCAGTCTTTATAGTTCAGCTGAAGGGACCCTTTATAGACGAGCTGAAGGAAGAAAGTCTTGAAAGACGAGGGAGGGGAAATTTATAGACATGTTAAAGCCAAAGAAGGATTTTTGTCGTCGTACTGAAGTCCATAAAAATATTTTTTAAAAAACCTCCTCTTCTTGAAATCCATAAACAAATATATATTTCTTTAAACCCCAGGCCTTGATTGAGGTCCTGAAAAATATATTATTTAATAAATCCAAGATTTTTGAGGTCCTTGTATATTTTATTGAACAATCGAAGCATATTGAGGTTCTTGAAAAAATTGTCTTTAAACAATCCTTGAAAAAATATTCTTTAAACAATCCACGCCTTGTTTGAGGCCCTAAAAAAATATTTTTTTAAACAATCCACGCCTTGTTTGAGGCCCCAAAAAAATATTCTTTAAACAATCCACGCCTTGTTTGAGGCCCTAAAAAAATATTTTTTAAACAATCCACGCCTTG